AATGAGGAGAACAGGGCTCTGGAGCCAGGCTGCCAGGGTTCAAATCTACCACATACCTGCTGGGTGACCTTGGCCAAGTCACTCCACTCTCGGAGCCTCAGTGTCCTCGTGAGTAAGACTAGGATGAGAAGGATACCTGCTGCACACTGTGCTGCTACAGTGAACTCGGAACACAGTAAGTGTTCAATAAACGTTAGCAGTGACGATGACTAAAAAGAATATTGCCACTGCTCCTTGACCATAAGTGGGAAAATGTGATGACCCCTAAACCCCGTTTAGAGCCATGTCAGCTACAGATTCCCATTCAGGTGGGAGGGAGAGGGGGAGGGGGAAAGGGAGGGGGACGGAGGAAACGACTCCTTGGGCTTTGTAACCGTTTGGGAACCTGCAGATTAGAGGAACCAGCCAGGAGGCCACCTTACACAACAAATACAATACCATTTACTCCCTGCCTGATGGTGTGGGAACTCCCTAAGTTCTTAAGAGACTCATTTCATTTTGCAAGATATTCTCTTGCAACAGAAATCAATGTGCTGCTAGTATGACAGGCGGAGGATCTGATAGGCTACTTCCTCCTTTTATCTCTTTATCCAGGAGATGTCTATCCTCGCGGCAGCCAGCCTTCCACCACAGCCTGGCCAGGTCACGGCAAGCGAGGTTTCCGTCTCAGCTGTCGCTCCCAAGTGCTGTCAAACGCACTGGCGATCACCAGGATAAAGGACCGCACACTGCGTGCTTCTATGAGGCTGTGAACACAAAGCAATCACTGCCCATTCATCCTCTCTCAAAGGGGCCCCCAATCCTCACTGCGTCAAGACAGGAAGCGGAGTGCAGGGGGAAGAGCACAGGCCCTGGGGGCAGATGGCCGGGTAGGAAGCCTGCCTCTGCTATCTCGGGCAACTTCTCTAGCTTCCCCAAGCCTCACCCTCTTCAACTGCAGAACGGTCCCTGGTACCTCCCCTCTGGTGGAACTGTGAGGATAGTTCACAGGAAGTGCTCAGAGCCATCCCTGGCACACAGCCAGCGCACATGAGAACACTCCTACTGTGCGCCTTTCCAGATCCCACATCAGAAAGCCCACTTAGGGCCACGGACCCTGCACATGGCCCTCAAACTGCAGGAACCCTGCAGTGAGCAGCGTTTGACTATGGTGGTCAGGACACCACAGCGCTACCAGTCCCTGTCAGGGCTGGCACCAGACCAATCCACACCAATAAATACAGAATATTTTAGAGGGGACCTACCAGAAGGTGAGCAGGTCAGCCCTGATGCAGGGAGGGGAGAGCGGCTCTGGGTGGGGCAACATCTCCACTATGTTATGGAAACGATGATACTGCCCAGACTAGCATCCCGGTCTATGGCTGTTTCTTTCTCAGAACGGGGTGGTGGGGTGGGGGGTGGGAAGACCTCAAGTAAGAAAAGGCCGCTAACACTGACGACAAGCTCCTGACGGTGACCAGGCAGACAGACCTGAGAGGTTAGGAAAAGACAGGCGGTGTCCACCTGGCACAGAGGCCTGGCTGCTAGCGCTGGCAGTGGGCTGCAGTGCTGCGATTCTGGTGACAAAGTGACCGTGGGCTGCTGGTAGGAGTGAAGGGTGAGCTCGGAAGGAGGCTGCGGCCCATCTGTGTGCAACCAGCAGCTAAAGAAGCCGGCGGGGAACGGAGCGCATTCTGAGCCACCAGGGCCTCCTCCTCCTCACACGGCAGCCTGCTCAGGAGCCACTCACCTTCCTTCAGGGCTGCACCTTCAGACGGCCTTGAGTCAACAGCGAGTGAGTGAGATAAAAAATGATGCCCACAAATACAAAGGCAAACATAGATGTTTTTTTCTCACCCTTTCAAAGGTGATAAAATGCATGAGTGTTTTTAAAAAATATATTTTGTATTGATTTCACAGAGGAAAGGCGAGGGAGATAGAAACATCAATGGTGAGAGAGAATCATTGATTGGCTGCCTCCCGTACACCCCTCACTGGGGATTGAGCCTGCAACTCGGGCATGTGCCCCGACTGGGAATCAAACCATGACCTCCTGGTTCATAGGTTGACACTCAACCACTGAGCCACGCCTGCCAGGCTGTAAAACAGTTCTTTTTTGAAAAATATATATTTTATTGATTTTTTTTACAGAGAGGAAGGGAGAGGGATAGAGAGTTAGAAACATCGGTGAGAAAGTAACATCGATCAGCTGCCTCCTGCACACCCCCTACTGGGGATGTGCTCGCAACCAAGGTACATGCCCTTGACCGGAGTCGAACCTGGGACCCTTGAGTCCGCAGGCCGACGCTCTATCCACTGAGCCAAACCGGTTAGGGCTGTAAAACAGTTCTTAATCGCTGTAGTTCACTGTGGCATTGGAGAGCCCAGTTCCCAAACACCTGGGACCTGCTATCATTTGTAACACCGATGAATGAGGCTCCCTGGCTATGCCATACAGCTTCCTGCCCCAATGACTCAACAAGCCAGGAGATGAGCAGTTTGTTGTGAGTACAAAGCGACATATGGTTGCCAAGCTCTCTCTGGCCGACACCACAGATGGAGTGAGAGGCTGGTCCGTTTCCCGGTGCTAAAGCTCTCAGAAGCTGACAGAGGGATTTCCTAAAGCCCCATCTGGTATAAAAACCTCGACTGGGCAGAGTGGTTTGGAACAGCAAGGGGGTGGCTGGTAATGACAGACCAGGGCTAACTGCTACAAAGAAAGAAGAATTAAAGAGGTGGCTGGAGTTTTCGTAGAAGAGAGAGGACAAGAAGCCAGAACTGGTCTGCCATCTGAGAGACCACAACCCAGCTCCCAAGGCAATCACTTCTGGTGGGGGATAGGGTTTCTGTGGCTTCTGTCCTGTGGATCCCTCTGCTGATGTTATCGGGGACGATTCGGGTTTGCCCACACTCACTCTGAGCACTGCACTTCCGCTCCAACACTGGGGTCCTCCCTCTGCCACCTCCTCTGAGTGACGTGTCACCGGACAAGTTGTACCCAGAACGTTAAGCTCAGACCAAAGAGAAATAAATTCTGAGCATCTGCACACCATATTTTTTCAGGGGGCCCATAAGGTTGAAACAAAACAAGAAAGAAAGGAACCGAGGGACAAGGACTGTGTGGAAGAGGGCCACTCCGTGTAGATCTGGGGGTTCGGCTGAAGCAGTGGTTCTCAACCTTCTGGCCCTTTAAATACAGTTCCTCATGTTGTGACCCAACCATAAAATTATTTTCGTTGCTACTTCATAACTGTCATGTTGCTACTGTTAAGAATCGTCATGTAAATATCTGATGTGCAGGATGGTCTTCGGCGACCCCTGTGAAAGGGTTGTTCAACCGCCACAGGGGTCGCGACCCACAGGTTGAGAACCGCTGGGCTGGAGGAAGCTGCTTGTCAGGGCAGTACTGTCTCTCACTCCTCCCCTCCCCTGAGCCGGAAGGTGGTAGATGCCGTCAATTCACTCCAACTGATCCATCCCTTGTGGCTCAATACAAAATGTAAGGCGAGCAAATGTGGGAACTGGCCATAGCTGGTGAAGGGCCTTTGAAAAGCAATGTGCCGGCATGGTTTTGT